GCTGAAATTTCGGTAGTGGGCTGTAAGGGCGCGACGACGAGGAAGGGATGGGTTAGGTTTGGAAGGGGTGGCAAGAGAGAACGACGACGACGACGACGACTACGACGACGACGACGACGGCGACGACGACGACGACGACGACGACGACTTGCTTTAATTAAATGCCCGTAATTGCGTTTCCCGCTAATTACCACGGCTCCCCCGAGAAGCGTTATACTAGTACGAAGTCGAAAAAAAAATTCGGGACCTGCTGAACTTTGTTAAGTATTCTTTTTTCTCGTCTGAAGGTGTTCGAGGATCTAGGTACTTATAAACACCGTGGTTCCCTATCGCTCCTCTCTTTCTCACTCTCACTCTCTCTCTCTCTCTCTCTCTTTTCTCTTTCTTTCTGTCTCTCTCTCAAACGAATCGACTCCTCGTCGTTTCTGCCGCTCGTCAAAATTTCGGCTCACGCGCGGTTGTGCTCTTCTCATTACCGCGACGATGCTGTGAAATGTTTTAAATGAATTTCGTGGAGGTTGGGACCAAGAAAGTATCGGCACGCTTACATTACTGGAAACAAACGATACAAAATCTGTCTCCATGAATAATTTATCACACGCTAAATGCAAGTGATATAATATGATACGAGTAATATAAAAATTCAAAGGTCAAAAAGTCATCGGCACAAAAAGTGGTTTCTCCTTGCAGTTTTACCATTTTGCATTTGAGAACAGAATGTGAAATATTTTCGATGGTTTAAAGACAAGCTCCTTTTCTAATGTTGGCGTAATGTCATTCGGCAACACTCCAGTACTTGCAGAAGCCCACTTCGTAATTTTGAAATAATAATAATTAAATATAAATTAACAATTGGAATTATACGTGTGTCATTGTACAACTCGTTATTGGAAATTGCCATTGTGCACGTTATTTTTCTAGGTAGTGAAATATTTATGGAAACAGATTTTGCTAATGTATCATTTGTTGTTTTCACGAAACTGGGCCCGTTGACCCACTAACAACATTACTCCCCAAATAAATGAAGAAATAAAGTATTCACCGCTGTAGAAATTATTTGCAAAAACGTGAAAGAAAAAATACAATCGCTTGTAAATAAATAAAAGAACGCATTGCTTCTAAAATAAATAAATAAATAAATAAATAAAGGAGAATGAACGTGCTAATAAATTAGTCGAGATAAATTGTAATAACATTCGTTTTGACTTAAACCTGGGATTACAGAAACTCCAAAAATTGACTGCTCCTATTTTCCTCCAGTTCGCTCATCAATAAAACGTGTCGGAAACCAGAAACGTCCGGCGACACGTGATATAGGACGTGATACAATTTTCAATCGCGTGACTCCAATGCGAGGAAGTGGCGAGGACAGTTTCATCACGCTCAAATGAACAACCCCATTAATTATTCAGAGTTAGAAACTCGAGGACAGAAACAACTCTTTAAAGTGGGCCGATATTTCTCGCGCGAGGAGATTTGTAAATTATTCTTTCTGCGCGTCTCTCTCTCTCTCTCTTTCACTCTCTCTCGCTTTCTTTCCACGAGTTTCGAAGGTTCCTCCAAGTTTTTTCTACATTATGAACGAGAAGTTCTCTAACGGGCAATTCCGCGTGAATTTTTCACTCTCGATAACGCGGCTCGACACGCTGCGGCAAAATTTTGTTTTACCACCCCTCCTCATTGCTGTTTCCGCAGCGAACGATTTTTCAAAGCGTATTCCGTACATTCAGATTTAATGGACGAACCTCGAAAAATCGGATTGATCACTTATAAATTTATACTACCGGCTCATCCGATATTAGATGAAACTGATATTCTGGCGTCGTGTTTTTTTTTTTTTTGTAATTTTGGAGTGATGCTTTGGATATGTATCATGTATCCCCAGTAAAAACGTATCGTAGCTTTTCAAATTTACTGAAATAACACCCGAAAGATAAAACTGTACGTGGTGAAATCCTCTATAATATTATCTGCTGGAACCATTTTGAATTTTCAATATTCCAACTTTTGTCAACAATGTCACGGACAATGATTTATATGTATTTTTCACCCAAGGATTCAGAAAATCAAATTAACTCGACTACCGTTACGAAACATTGACACAGCCTGTGGAATATGTTTAACGCAAATACGTAAACGTATCAAACTGATTGAAATCCAAACTGGATGATACCTAAAATGGTTGACGATTAGAATTACCATGTAATTAGCTCAGCCAATAATAGATCCGATTGAAAAATGGTTGTCACCAATACGTTCACGAACGATTGCGATCTAATGAGCTTCTTTACGATCAAGTAGGTTTGCGAAAGCGTTGAGAGAAAAATCGACGGAATGTATTATATATCAAATATCGTTCGCTCGAGATTTCAGAAACAATTTATCGCGCGCTGAAATATTCGAGGCGAGACCACCAAAAATGTAACCGATAAATATTGGTCTTGAACTCTAAACGATTGTTAGCAATACTACCTGATAAATCATACTTGACTTTTATCGTATATACACGCGTAGGAAACTTCGCTTCGGAAGGATACGTTGTGATTCATGAACGACCAGCAGGATTTATCAGTTTAAATTGATGAGAAAGAATGGATTAGAGTCACTCGTAAGTTGAATTAATATTCTTTTCACAATGGCATAATGCCACCTACAGGGAGGGAATTGAAACGGAATTTACTGTAACGCAGCAGCAACAATTTGCGAAATCTGCTTAATTTGTATTCTGTAACGGTTGCCGAGCGAGATATTACGATGTTACATTTATTTGCAGTTGAAACAAATTTGAACGCGATAAGAAGTCGTACAAATGAATAACGTAAGCATGTAGACTGGATCATGTGCGAGCGTGCTCGTAATAAAATTCATTCTAATTTAATCATTTTTCGTATCACCGTTGTGTTGTACTCCATGGTTTAATACGTTCAGATATTTTCTGTTAACATTTTCAAATTACGTACAATTCTGATTACGTGTTTTATTAACAATTGGAGAATTTAAAGCAAATGATATCATTATGAACGAAATAAATATTCATGAGCACAAGCATAAAGGAATAAATAATTTGTATTTACCAATACACTTACTTATTCATTCTAATATGTATATCTGTATATCTTCGGAAACTCTCCCTTTTATAATTCCAACGATTCTCATAAATTCTTATGAGACTATATACGCTTATGGAATACATATATACAGGGACTTGCACACCTCAAATAACTTTTCAATGAAAAATTGTTTAATACAAATTGTGTGGTTTTAAGGGTTTTAAAAATATAATTTATCAATCTTTTTTTGTGTGTGTGGAGGGACTTCGAAATTTTTAAGATTAACACTTCTGTTTCCTTTTAATTCAACTATTTTTTTCACTATTTTTCACATTTTTTTTTTTTTTTTTTTTTGACTTTAAATCAAACTAATGATTATTTATTCCATCATAAATCGAAAGAATATTAAATTCTAATTTTAAAAAAAGTATCTCAATACGCCGTATTTTTCCAACCTCAAAACTGTACGATTCTTGTGTCAAACAATTTCTCATTAAACGCATAATTAAAAAAAAGAACCTAATCTCAGGTGTGCAAGTGTATGAGAATCACCCTGTATGTAGTATATATATATATATATATATACGTAATAAGTTCACAAAAAGAAATAATCCCACGGACATTCGCGATTCACATGGCTCATGGCTACGAACGATAAAAACACGAGAAAGTATCAACAAAGAATACTCGAGATTTTTAGTGCGTGGAACCGACCGTGTTTTGAGAATCATGTGTAATCCCATAGTTTGTCAGGATTGACTAAAAGAGATTGTAAAATAGAGAAATACGGAGCGGACGTAGGTGCAAAGTACTATGTACATATGTGCTCTATGGAAGATGCGTGCGCGGGCTAGTAGTTGATTGGAATTGGAATATGGATTGAAGTAGCGAATTGGAATTGGAATTGGAATAGTCGTTTCGTGTTGTGTGTTGACTCGTATTGTTCTATTGAGTTGTCTGTATAAAGATTTCCGCGCGCGTGTAATACATTTATTTATATTTCAATATGGATTCATGCGTCGAATTATTTTCAAATTCTGCCTCTCCCACTTCGATTTGCACGATACAATTTCTACGATACGTTTTATATCCACGTAACATTTCCTTTATAAATCCACGCGCGAATGTATTACGGCCAGTTAATCTCTCATTTCGCAGTTTGCAACGAATTAAATAGAAGATATGATACGATTATGTTTTTCTTAACTTCATCAGAATATATTTATCGATATAAAGTCCCCCCCACATAATCAAACAGTTAAATAGAACGTCAACACGCCTGTGGCTAAACTCCCAGCGATCAATTAACTACATACGTCCATATATCCTTTCTACGCGTACGTGTGTCGTCGTTTGCCAAATTAATATTGGAATTATCCGCGATTAAAGTGTAAAATTCCTCTCGCGGAAATGAAAATGTAAGGAACAGGAAGAGGTTTTTTAAACTGCAATCGGTATTTCACGAAAAATCATCGCGTGCCTAGAAAATCCCCATTCTCATTTTTTTTTTCTTTTTTGGAAGTGGAAAAATTAATGTTAACTCGGTTCTTAAAATTGTAATTTTCATGTAATAACATTCTGCAATTGTACCATATCTTCTCATAACTGTTGCTCTAGAGGGAAAATCATCGTACATCTAGAAAATCCCCATTTTCATCTTTTCTTTTTCTCTCTACGAAAAATTAATACTGGTCAACTTAATATTGCAATTTTAGTATAATTGCGCAACTGTTGTATCGTATTTTCCGTAACTGTTATTCTGTGTGTCTTTAGACGTAACAAGTTGTAAACTCGGGCAATATTGTAGCGTGCAATGGGTAGATAACTTCTATCACGCTATCTCTGTCGCAAATTGATGTTACGAGCTATGTTTTGGGTGAGATTGGAATAATTTCGATCTTCGGATGATTGTTGGTTTATCGTTCGCGAGTTATACTACGGTTAACGTACCTTTAGTTGAATCTGTTCCATCTGGACCGATGCAATCTCCGTTCGGTTTCAACTCCGCTTTCAGTTTACATTTCTCGGTCTTTTATATCAATTTCGGAGTAGCATCATCATTCGAATGCTATTACACAGTGCCTATAACAGAAATAAAAATTTTCATTACTTTCGACGTTGTAACTCCGTTCAGGAATTAATTTTTCTTTCATTATCTAGCGAAATTATAAAGTATATCAAAGGAAATTTGGTAATATTTAAATTAAACATTAGATAGTTTCGTTTCTATTAAAATAATGAAATATACCGAAAGAAATTTTAATTTATAATAAAAATAAGATAGCTTCACAGCTTTAAATTTGGTAATTTCCAACAAAAGTAAGACAGTTTCACGTTCTATTCCACTATCTTGTTTCAATGGTTAAAATTTCTTTATTACACTATATTCAGAATTGGACGACCAAGGTGTGGCTTTCTAATTCCAATTGACGAATATAGATGCATTTACAAGAAAAGTTAGGTGAACTTGACATTTTGAAAGATGATTCACAAATTACCTAGTACCTAGATTGATGCGAGAAATCTTTATGTTAATTCTCGGAACTTGACGTTTAACATTAATATCTTTCAGAATGTCGAGCTGCAATTAATAGTCGTAAAAGTGACAATTTCATTTACTCAACAAAGTGTGAATATGAAGTTTCAAGTCCAGAATGCAGTCTTTGCATTTTACAACGGTACAATCGTGTGCGTCTTAGTTATTGTTAGATCAAGAATACTTGATCTAACAATGATCTAACGAGAGAAAGCCGCGAGGCAGCTGGCAAAGAACAAAAGAAGAACGAAGGAAAGACGTCGTCTCGTCCAAAAGTGACACTTTCAACACCTTCTAATTGCAAGCGTAATTTCCACTCTTGTTCCAGTTTATTCGTAATGATCACGTTGTCACGTCTGTTTGTTCAAATATGATTCCGATGTTCGTCTCCTTGATGTTTCGTGCCTCGTCTCGATAGAGAAAAGAAAAAAGGAAGAAAGGTTGGACATTCGACGTATATATATTCTGTTATTGTTATGAATTTAAAGTACTTCGTGCGCAGTGCTGATTTGCATTACGTTTGCATAAAATCCGGTGCTGCATAAAATTGCTCTGCGCGTGATTTTTTTTAATAGATTTAAATTTCGCGTCAGTTCAAACGTGGAGTTTTCATTATTCACGATCTGTTTTTCACTCTCTTTCTTCTATAAATTCTACCGCTTGTTTATGATGGATTCTTACGTCGATTTGATAAAAAATATTAAAATGACGCGTACATATAATAATCGCAGAGGTTTGATTGTTTATTAGAAACGATTCAAAAACATCTACTATTTCCAAGAACACAGTAGTTGAAGCAAGCTATTAGAACGCAATCGCATGTTACCGTTGCATTTACGACATCAAAATCTCATTTAGCAACTGACTGCGGCTTTTCTGCGGTCGAATTTACAATGCAAATCAACCGAGAAATAAAAAAGTGCTCTCGGCCGGGCAGCTCTCTCTCTCTCTCTCTTTCTCTCTCTCTCTCTCTCTCTCTCTCTCTCTCGAATGTGCAACGCGTTTCATTCTCTTCTCGTGTTGAAATTTCTACGTTAAGTATATCGAGTGGAAAAGGGACTTCAAATTTTTATGTAAATTCGAAAACACGTTGCCGCTGCGCATGCCACAGGAAAATACAAAAAAGCACGAATATCACGTAATGCCCGTTCATTAATTCTAACAAATTCAAAATTACCGCGTAATTAAAATTTCGTTCTCTTCATTATTTCCTGCCATCTAGGCATTGTAATTAACGAGTTATTCGAGTCTCTATAATAAAAGGTCGACATGCGAAAGCGATGTGAAAAATAGGTTGATTTTATGATATTTTTGAAGGTGACAAGATCGATTAACAGAACAGTGGAGAAGAATCGTGTCTTTGGTAATAAATCCTTTTTCTATATTTTTGCATTGTTTCTCACTTTTGTTTCCTAGGATTTTCCACGATTGTCGATAATTGCATCGAAATTGATCGCTATTATTCTACGCTTTGATTTTTACAGCTGCCAAAAGAAAATATTTGACACGTTCGCAGAGGAGAAAAATAGAAAAAAAAAATAGAAAAATAGAAAAGAGAAAATTTCCTAGGATTTCATCTATTTAATTGCAGTACTTTTGTTTGCTAGGACGTTGTTGGCCAAAGTTGAACAATTCGTGACTTAAAATTCGCGCGAATTCCAAGTGTTTCGATCGAAATTTTGCCCCAATGGGGATATCTCAAGAACTTCCTCCGACAAGAAAAGACGCGTGCCCTCTTGCTTCTCCCTTCTTCGATGCTCGCATGAAAACGAGAATGTTCAGATTGTCAAACGACCAGTCAAAGTGACTAGGTACGACGAAATGTACTCGTATTAGAAAGTGTAATGTTCGAAAGAGGAATGTTCTCTTTGATTCAGCATTCAGAAAATGCTCCGCCGAGCATCGAATCAACGAAATTTCGTTATTTCGAATATCGAAATCCGCGACCGTTCGTCGCAACTAATATTCCAGCAAGCCGCTGTCGTAAAATCAATTTGCTTGAATTTAAACTGGCCAATTGAGCCAGCTCGACTCGAACGAACAGGCAAGCCTGGATCCAAATTACTTAAATAGAAGCGAGCCGCGATCGAGCAGCTTGATTAGTCCGAACGAGGTTTAATCTACTTACGTCTGGCTACGTGACGGACACTGTCACTTGTTTTACACATCCTGGACACATCAGCTAGACCAGAGACGCCAACTTTCGCTCTCGCATTCGCGTTTTCTACCACAAACACGACTATTTCCATTCTCATACTCTCGTACTTTTTCCTATAACAATGGGAAACGTTCATGTCAATCACATACACGTACGTACGCACGCACGTACGTATTGTGTACGTTATTGTACAGAGACGGATTGTACGTACGGATTAATTTTAGTAGCTTGAGCATCACGTTCGATGCGTTTGAAAACTACGTTACCTCCGTGTCTTTCTTTTTTTTTTTTTCGTTTTTCGGCGAATGCAAATCTCTCTGCATTCGAGGCTGTCTAGGATTCGTACCTCGGATGATTCCCTTTTTATTGCTTACGGCCGTATCTCCGGCGTTTAAGTATCCCATACGTCTGTGTTGTAGTCCCAACCGTCGTCTAGCTGCTTCCAATGTACCGAGCGATAAAACGAGCTGCTTCTTGTTTACGGATGGCGAAGCTGGTCGACGTGAACCGACGAAAAATTCTTCTCCCATTTTTCTTTCTTTTTTTTTTCGTTTTCTTCTTCGATTTATATTGTAGGAGAGACTCTTTGTGGAAAGTAGTAAAATATCTTTGAAATCGTTCCCTAAACTAAACGAAATTAAAATCGCAAATAATATATATGTGCACACGCTCGAATTATATAACAAATTGAGCACCTAGCGTGAATCACTCGTGACGGATTGTTCTAATATCGATGACATCACATTTTTCGTTCAAAATTGAATAAATCGTACCTCAAATTTTAGAAGAAGTTCCAATCTGGAGGAAGAAAAAAATTTTTCAACGTAGAGACGTCTGAATTTTGCGAAGAAAAGGTGCGTTTAATTTTCCATCGCACGTTGCACGATGGTAGAAACGTAGCAAGCAAAAATTTTGCAATGGACTTTGAAAGTAGCAGCGTCAGTCTTTGAAATGAATCCAGTTTAAGAATATCGCGCGATCTTTTATTATACACGAATTTATAGCACGAAGTTTGAACACTTTGAAAGTGTTCAAAGATCGGCAATTTGTCGTTGCCAATTACAATTACAATTTAGTTAAGCGTTACGGTAATTTACTGATCCTTCAGTTTTGCGTTGAAAACTAAACTGAAAACTTAACTCAAAAAAAAAAAAAACGATCAACCGCCGATGGTTCCAATAGAAATCATTCACGAGAGAAGGCACGCGTCTATAATTTATTTCCACCAAAACAGCGAAATGACGTGAAAAGAAATTTCCACTTGCTCACCACTTGCTCTGCCTACCATAAAATGACATCAATCACCACTGTAGAGAAGATAGAGTATTTAAAAAAAGAAAAAAATGATCGACCGAGTGACTTCGTTCCGTCGTTTCGACAATGAGCGAACATCGAGAAACGAAGAAGACTGAACACTGAGAAAAAGAGGAAAGCAAAAAAAAAAATAAAAAAAAAACGTTTCGCGGGTCACGTGTTTTGAGGCCTGGTTTTGAGGCATACACGCGGACTACCGTAGCAAACATCCGAATAGTCCGTTCCGGCGGGCTGCCCAATATTGACACGCCGCCGAGTAAAACAATGGAAATATGTTGCGCGGCCGGTGGCGTCGAGGAGGAACGTAAATATTGAGTAAATTAGCATTAATCTGTTGGTCAGTCTCGTATCGGCATCGGCGTTGCTCAACGGCCGGGGGAGAGGGGTGGACCCGCTGTAAACGTTTCAAAAATCACGGGAGGGGCGCGGCGGCTCTTCAACGGAATACATCATTGTTTTGTATTTGTCGTTCGCTCGATCGTACAGGGGATGCAGGGAAACGCGCGTTTTTGAAACTAGCGTTTTCCATCGCCCTTCGGCCGATTGTCCATCACGCTTACCGATTTCACCGGGGCGCAGCCGGGTGGGGGAGTAAGGCAGCCAGAAACGATGGATAGGGAAGAGGCGAAATCATTCGCCCGCCGCGCGCCAAACAGACAATACCAATATTTCATCGCAAGTGGACCTGAATTTCATGAGTGAAACTGAAAAGCGTCGGCCCTCGCTTCGATGGGAGAGAGAGAAAGAGGAGAAAAAAAAAAAAGAGTTCCAATTTTTTTTTTTTCTTCCCTTTTCCCTCTTTTTTTTTTCATTGGCATCGTTCCTACCTTTCAGGGACTTTAGCATTTTCCTTCTCCCCTTCGTACAACTAAGGGATTAACGAATTTATTGAATTTCTTTCTGAGCTTTCGTTGAAATTGAAAGAGGTCGAATCGAGATGAAGGTTGCCCGACGAAAGCTAAAAGGAAAAAACGTGCTTCTCGCTGATTTTGACACTTGTGCAACTGTCTGTGAACCATCGTCTGAACGTGGTATGTTTGTAGATTTAAACACTGGCAACTGAGTGATGAATTTGTTTATCTTTACACTTTGGTTTCATGCTTTTCGGTCCTTTTGAATTTCTTCGACAAATGGAAATCACACGACGCGTGGAAAAGATAGAGGGTCACTGAACGAAGACATTATGATTGAAAGGTATTATTATGATTGACGAGTATTAATACTTGTCGAAGGTATTACCATGATTGACGAGTTAATTGGTCTTCCCCGGTTAACAAATTAATACGCCGGTCGCCATTCGCGCGCGGAATGTGCGTATTTTAACTGTTGCAAGAGATAACGTTACGTTATGTAATCTGAAAATTATTACGTTGCGTAATAAATTCGCTTGGAGTTTCATCGTTCTTCAGAGTATTAAAAGTACGTATTACAGTAGAGAATACATATAATCTATAATATACGTAACTCTGAATAGAGAGACACGTTGTAGTATGGATAAATGCTGCTGCAATTGTATCACCTAACGACAAAAATAGAAATTTGAAGTGCCAACGTGACATTGACAATATCAAAGTACTAAAAGAATTATTGAAAATAATGAACTCACGATTGTACAATTACAATTGCTATTAGCAAACAGAGTATTAATCATACGGAAAATGTTCTTTACGGGTAATGTAATATGAGTCAAAGAACGTAAAGATACGCAATTTTCTGTTAGAGAAACAAATCCTTCAAAAATCCTTCGATTCTTTGTAAAGAATAATCGACCAAGTGATGCACAATAATCGTTGAGATGAAGTGAAGGGACTTATTACACAAAACCAACCAAATCTAACAAACAAAACATACATACAAGTGCTAAACTTTCGACATATTCTATTTTTGCCTGTTTTTAGCAACCAGCTGCAGAGCAAGGTTAAAAGTTCGAAATTAAAGCGTCGATGTTCGGCTAAACGTTAAAGGTACAATCGATAAAGAGATTTGAAATTGGGAAACGAATTCCCGGAGAGCACGGGCGTGATTGACGCGGTGCCGAAGTTAGAGGGGAAGATCTCACGCGTAGACACATGACGCGGCTGACATAAACTGTCAAACGTGACGGCAAGAGAACGAGCAGATTGTCCCAGCCGTTGTACGTGATCAGCGTGGTCAGCTCTCTAATTTCTCGTATCCCAGCGAAGGAGCACAGAGAGAGAGAGAGAGAGAGAGAGAGAGAGAGAGATCCCTTGGTTGTCAGTGCGCGTTTAATACCGTCACCGGAGGGAAGGAGATTCGGTTCGTAAGTTGAAGGGAACTTTTCTGTGAAAGAACCGGCCCCCGTGACGCCATTTACATTTCTTCCATTTTATCGAGCAAATCTTTCCCCATTTGAAATTCCATTAAACACTTTTTGGGGTCGCGGCGGACATGTTAAATGAAAATTAACAGATTACCCGTGGGGCCGTAACGTTGATCTCCACTTTTTCTGATGCTATATTTGTAAAATTTTTTTAAGTTACAATAATAAGTATTACTTATTTAATATTATATTATAAAATATTGTACGTAATGTTAGTTACTTTATCACTCCTGCGTACAGTAAAATTTCTCAACTGCAACTGAGATAAAATGTAGCGATTACTGCGCACGACATTCATATGACGCCTAACGGCGTCATCTGTCGGCAAGGCGTTAAGAATCAATCGTGAACGAGTGACAAGTGAGTTTATTTTTTTCGAGTAACGTTCGTTGTGTTTCTGCGAAACTTGTTGTTGTTACTTTGTCTCTCGATTCTCTTTAATTAACATTAGAGAAAACTGCGGCGCGGTTGAATCGCGTGGAAAACTGGGAAAAGACTAATTTATACCTGAAGCAATAAACTCCAGTTTCTTATTATTATTTTAACAAACGTGTTCTCCACAGACGTATATATATGCGAAAATGAAATTATCAGCATTACATAATAGGAGATTAAAAATATTCCGACTAAAGTTGATTTTTATATGCGTGAAGTAAATTCCTTTCAAATTTATACTTCCTCATTTACGAATACAGATATATCTGTCGTTTCACTGAGAAATAACACGTCTAGATAAAGTCATATTTATCGTCTCACTTTCTTCAAAACGCGGCGCAAGAATTAAATCAGTTGGGCTTATTGTTAGTATCGTTTAGACAATGTGTCGCGGAATACGCCGCCGTAGATCAGAGGCGAGAAACAGTTTATTACGGCCGGATGCGTACGGGAAGGTGCAGCACGGAGATTTACCGGCGCAACAAATAACAGGCGAGACTGCAGTAAGAGGCAGTTTAAAGTTGCTATCAAAACTTAAGAGACTGTGGCTATCAAAATTTCTCGGATCACTAAACGTGATTCTAATAAAACGATCGACACGAACTGCAGAATCGAAGAGAAGGACAAAAACCGTGAAAGAAATTCTTTACAAAATTTAAAACAATTAAACATTGTTACGATCTATCGAACTAAAAATTTTGTTATTATTAATTTCATTACTAATGTTACAAATAATTTCACCAGTGCGTTCGCCGCAGTTTTACAATTTGTTTTATTTGTTCACAGAATCGGAATGCTAATTCTGTCATATTTATTTTGTGATAATAACAGAAGTTTCGTCTCGATGTCTTGGTAGAGAGGAACGCGTGCGTAGCAATTTCAGGGTAGAAAGAATTTTTCAGGATGAAAAGGGTATC